GGGAGGGTGTGGATGCTGGCAGGAGAGAGGGGTCTTACTGCAGTGAATCAACTGGCATTCCGAGAGCTTTGAAATGCGGATTTGCATCAAATAAAACTCTCAGGGTTAGTTAAATATTCCTCTAAATATGGAGAGGAATTGAGTTACTGATGCTTGTTATTCTTATCTTACTCTTGGTGTCACAACATCTTTAAGTTCAGTGAAGGTTTCACTTACTAAGACGGTTGTAAAGATTTCACGTTAATTAAGAGGACTCCACTGCAAATCTGAATATGAATGAAGTTTGGCTGCTGCACCCAGGGCAGTGAATACTGGGGGAAGATCAGACAGTGACAAATGTTGATTAACAAAAAAAACCCACACGCACAAAAACCCCCTAAAACAATGCTTCAATCTAGAACCTGTTCTGTGAGAGAGAAAAAGTTGAGTTCAAGTTGTCAGAAGGAAACAAAAACAGATTCTGACTTGAATTTACAGTCAAAGAGGTGAAGTTCTGGCGGTCAGGAGCACTGATGAGGGTTGTCGTGTGCCGCCCCTGCGTGGACTCAGCCATTGCACTGTCTCCCTCTCCCTAAGCAGGCGATCAGTTTATCGTGAGGGAATCTTCAATGGAGGAAGAGAAAAACTCTGGGCTTGATTCTGATCTTGGTCTTGTTGCTTCAGAGAAGTATCAAGTCCAGTCAGCTTCAACTGGTGGTCGCAGAACCGAGATGAAGCTTCACCTAGTGGTGCAGGTAGTGGTAGGTGGCAGGGGAACGGGGCTTCCAAGGAAGGAGCTCTCGCAATGAAGTATTTTGAGTAAAGAATGAGACTAGATACGCATTTTTTTCCCAAAAAACTTGCTTTTATGGGGATGTTTTCGTATGTGCCAGTGCTTGGAAGACTGGAACAGTAGCTGGTAGCTAGGGCAAGCAGTTGGCAGTTGGGATATCTGCGTTTCTCTTGCTGTTGCCTGAACTGGGGTGAGTCCTCCCCTCCTTGTGTCTCTGCTCACCCACCTGCAGATAACAACACTTACCTGCCTTTGCAAAGCAGTTTAGGGCAATTCAAAGGGCGCTGCAGGGGTGCAGAGCATAACTCCACCTTCTAAAGAAGGACTTTGGGGAAGGAAATGGTGATGTATAACATTTTAACCTCGCCAAAATACATCGGACTTGGCTTTTGGAGTGGAAGAATGAAAATACGAGAGCCTAAATAAACAGTATTTGTCCTCTGAAGCAGGGCAAAGGCAGCATGGGAGGGGGTGCGGAGGGTTTATTGTTGTTATTTTTTATTCATGCTTCCTTGAGCTGATTCTGGGAATTGTCCTGACTGTCATTATGTTTGTGGCAATGTGCAGGTTGGCCAGATGCAGCAGGGCATGGAGTGAACAGAAAGAGGTTAAATTGATGGATGACCAACAAGAGCAGGATTGTGCCTCAGAAGACCAAGAAACTATCCTGATTAATGGGGTGAAAGAAAATGGTAAGGAACTTAATTACAGTACACGAGGGAGCAGCGACAACTTGCAAGCCAACTTATTTCCCTAATTCCTTCCATGTATTTCATTTTAGCAGTGGGCAGGTATCTCTGCAACGTGGAGCAGTTGGGTAGATGAGTGTTTTCTGCACAGATGTCACTGCAGCTATGAATCTACACCTTTTTAGGTCTTAACAAGTACTGCTTTTGCCCATACATATGCATGGTGGGAAATATTCATGTGCACATGCAGTTTGAATTACAGATTTTAGTTTGGTTTCTTAGGGAAAAAAAGTCACACAAGACTCTGCAGCCTCTCTGCCTGTTGGGATTTCTTCCCCTCTCTTCACAATTACTTCTGAACCCACTAGCTAATCTCAGCAAAGTTTGGCTGAAGGATACTTAGTTCCTACAAACTGGTTTAAAATTAGAGGCTGGGTAGAAGAAACAGACCCAGATTAAGCACCCACGGAATGGGAAGGCTGCACTTGTGATCTTCCAGCAGCCTGCCCAAAATACCTAACGTTGCTGTATCTATTTAATTGACTCCATATTTGCTTTCAAAAGCAATAACTAATTAGGAGTAACAGTGCTCTGCTGCCTGAAAGGCTGATTGGAATAAATATGCCTCTGAGCAGTTTCTCAAGTCATTTGGACCTTAGTCACTAGCTGCAGTAAATGCAGTGGCAGTCCAGTGTTGGGGCAGAGCTTGACATTTCCATTCTTCACCATGGTTTTGTTTTTAATTTCATGGCTTTTTACATTTTGTATTTGCCTATAAACCTTGAGAGAATGAGAGATTTATTTATATATAAAGGGTTGACCCTATTAGATATCAAGGACTTGGTCCTCTGACATCTTGTATGTTCAAATCCTTCTCTTGCCTCAAAACAAGGTGCTTAAAGGCAAATACTGCTGTTGTTCATTACCAAAAACCTGGAGCAACTCCAGACATGAAGGTGGCTGTGAGGACCCCGCAGCGTGTGCTGGTGCCAGGTGAAATGCACACTTGCACATGCCCCTGCAATGTAATTTTGAAGGGAACTGCCTTTGTCAGCCCATCTCCTTCATGACTGCACATGGTGAAGCCACAGCTGGTGACAGCTGCTGGAGCGCAAGGAGATTTTCTAGCTGTGGTCCCCTTGTCTAATCTAATAGGCTGTAAAGTCAGTGTTTACCTGTTCAGTAAAGATGGGTGATTTCTAGAAACTGATACTGCGTCCATGAAATTCAATTAGAGAGGGCTTAAAAAGTGCTTCAATTAAACATAGTTTCAAGACTGGTTTGTGTTGGAAGAGATCTTAAAGCTCCTCCAGTTCCACCCTCTGCCCCAGGCAGGGACACCTTCCACTAGAGCAGGTTGCTCCAAGCCCCTGTGTCCAACCTGGCCTTGAACACTGCCAGGGATGGGGCAGCCACAGCTTCTCTGGGCACCCTGTGCCAGCACCTCAGCACCCTCACAGGGAAGAGCTTCTGCCTCAGAGCTCATCTCAATCTCCCCTTGGGCAGATTAAACTTCCAGTTTAAATATGATTATGGAGGAGTTGCCACTGAATGAAAAGCAGTGAACCAGCAAGTAGCTCTGATGCCACCACCTCCCCACTGGGGATGGGGCTGATGCTTTTTGCCTTCTCTCATCCTAACCATAAGTCTGGTCACCCTTCAGAGCTGGCTGACAATGGATGGATCAGTATTTTTCCACTCAGGCTGCCTCTGTGCTTTTGGATGGCTGTTGAGTTAAACTGGGAAAGGTGGTTGCAGCCCTTTGGAGTATTATTTACTTTAGAGCATCAATTGAACGTGCACCTGGTCTTAGCATGATACAAGCCCTAGAAGATGAAGCTTTGGCATTTGTATTTCACAGGAGTTAAGTTCACTTACACAAGTATAAACCTAAAGAAACACCCAGAGACAGTTTATTTTATATAATAACATCTCTGCACATTGAATGCAGCATTCGAGATTGAATTTCAGCTTTCTACCTCCCCCTTTTCTGAGTCTTGCAGCATTCACAGACATTCTTCTTTTATCCTCAAATTTTCCATGCTTCCTGTCAGCTCCAAGCTGAGTTTTATTCTATTTTACTTCTGAATTGGAACTGCACTGGTTAATTTGTTTTGGTGCTTAAGGAAAAAGATACCACCTCTGCATTTCTGATCTAAAAACTGGTGGGAGGGACTCAGAAATCAGCTCTTTATTTAATTTTTTAACCCCTTTTTTAAAGGGAAGCAGCACAGATTTCAAGCAAGTCAGTCTGGTCTTTTCTAAGCCGCTCACATTGGAGATGTTTTTAGGGACTGCACTGCACTTCTGGTTTGATTTGTACAGTGTTTGGAAAGTTCTTTGACGTCCTCAGAGTGCTGCATGGCTCTGACTGCAGCTTGCTTCTACTGGCTTAAGACTTAACTGATGGTTCTGTCCCTAAGGCCCCTGCAGCACAAAACTGCTGTGAGGGTTTGGGATGAGATTAGGGAGATTTTGACGTCCTCTAAGTTCTATGCTTGGCAGAGGCAGGTAGCCCTCCACCACATCCTGCTCCTTGTCATGTTGCCCACCTGCAGTTTGGAGCCCTGACCAGCGCAGTAGCACAGTGGGTATGTCACCATGCCAGTGTTACGTGTGCCTATGTGAGCCTTCCCTTCCCTGCTGGGGTCAGCTGGCATAGGATCACACACTGGTTTGGGTTGGAAGGGACCTTAAAGCTCATCCAGTTCCA